TCCTCTTGGGTCTCTTTTTGACCGCCCCCGGAAGGTGCGTGTGTGGCCTCTGGCCCATGGCCTTCTGTAGATCTTGGCTCCTCAGCTCCCAGGCTCCTCTGCTTCCTGTGGTCTACTGCAGCTCCAGGGCTCCTTCACTTCCTGCTGGCTCTCTCTTGAGCCCTGTTCTTGTCCTTCTCTGTCCCTGATTTTCTGCCCCCTCCCCTCGACTCCTTGAGGTGTGTGAAGACAGTTCCAATCTGTGTTCTCACAATTGCACCTTCTTGTGGACTCTTGTGCCTTCCTATCATGCGAAACCACAGCCCTTCACCCTGGGTATGTTCCTGGGGTCAGCCAGCACCATCTGGGCTGGAAAATGGGGAAAGAGTATTTTGGAAGGACCCAATGCCCTACAAAGGGAACTTTTCATGATCAGAATTAGCCACCCCACATAGCAGCCTGGGGTCAGCCTCCTGTTTACTCTTTCACTTTAGGGCCTTTCCACCTCAATGAGCCTTAGAGACATTGGCAAGAAGGCCTCTGGGGGCTACGCCCTCGTCTGGGCACTCTGTTTGTTGCCCTTGTAGTACAAAGACCTCCTCCCCACGTGCTCCATCATTCTTTCCCCTTTGGGCCGCTGCTACTTTCCTGCATCAAGGAGGGCACTCGCCATGCACCCTCAGAGGCCGTGTGCATAGCCGGCAGTCCTGAGGCACTCCCTCCAGTGGCCACACAAGCAGCAGAGCCTGTAGCATCGAGGGTACTGGACTGATGCCCTGTGCCCGGGATAAGGTGCTACCCTCCTGCTCCCATGACTTCCCTGGCCCAGTCTTTGCTGGTGAATGCAGTGGTTCTTGCTTGTAAGCGCCTATGAGTTACGTGGGCCCTGTGATCCTGGCCAGGTATTCTTGCATTGTTACCACTCTCCAGTGAACGTTAGTTAGTAAGTACCAACCCCCTACGCAGCATCTGCGTGGGCTGGAGAGTCCTGTCCCTGAGTGTTTGTTTTAGAGAGAGGGCCGGCCCAGGAAGGTTGGTAGAAGGTATATGCTCTGAGCTGAGGGCAGAAGCGACATCCCCAGCACCCTATTGCCCAATCCCCACTGGAGAAGCAACTGAGGATTTGACCCCAGGTCTGGGAGCAATGACACTGTGGCCAGAAAGTGGTGGTAGGGTTGGGAGCAGTGCGGAGGAGACTGGACATAGTCCCAGACCAGTGGCCCTGGGCCACAAGAGAGAAAGACCTAGAGATTAGCCAGCTGGCACTAGAGGGGCAGGGTGTTCCACATGGTAGTGAAATGGACGAGCACCATCTCCAGGCTGCACAGTCTCCGAGGCCAGTGCCACAGGGTGCAGTTAGCTCTGCAAGGTCCAGGGTTGTGGGGGGCAGTGGAATGGCTGGGGCGGCACAGCCTGCCCATCTGTGGTCCCATCACTCCACTCCCCTCTGCTTTCTGTGTCAGTCCTGCCCACCTTCTCTGGTCGGCCCCAGGCTCTCCCAGCTCCCAGATGCCTGGATGTGGACCTTTGCCATTGCTGCTACCTCTCTTAGCCGTGCTATATGCCCCCATCAGCTCTTTCGGCTCTGCCTCACTCAGGCTATAACGACTAGTTAGGCAGCTTATTGGGAAACTGCCTTCTGATAGGTCCCCTGAGGCCTCATTCCAAGTGAGCGGGTGAGTAGATAGTGTGGAGGCAGACAGGTACTCAAGGGGCTTGGCGAAGTCTTGGTACCTCCATCACCCTCTCATGGAAGGTGTGCGGGGCCACGAAGACCTACCAGACATTTATATACCCAAGCAGTGAGATAGGAAATCACCTCCCTGTAGACCCCTCCTCCCATCATTGTGCCTAGCCTGATTCGGGCTTTGGGGTTGCTGTGTCTGACTCTTTCTAGTTGTGTGCAGCTCAGGGTGGTTCTATTGTTGATAGGTACCAGGCAGTTTCCCTAGGGGTAGGGGTGGGCGTGCCATCTCACTTGTATAAGAGGAGAGGGATTCTATTTGGAAAATGTGGAGAGGAGACAATGGGGCTCTATGGATTACCTTGCACTCCCCACTCTGCTGTCTGAGTGGTCGGTGTTAAAATTTGAGCCCAATTCCTTCTTTTTCAAAAGCATTTCCACTGGACCACACTGTCCTGTCCCCCACTGTGCAGGCTGTCCTGGCTGGTCTTGTTACACCCACCAGGAATGCCTTTAGTTCCTGTCTCCGTCCGTCTGCCTGGGCCATACTGTTACCTCACAGCAATACTCCCTCCTCCATCCCTGTCCCTGGTCTCAGGGTCTCACTCTGTTAAAACCATGCTTCGGCTACCCTGTGAGTGGTCCTTCTTCTCTGAGGCGAGTGAGGCTGGGGGTGACGTGAGACTATTCCGTTGGAGATGCTAAGGAAGAAGCCGTTATTGCTCACCGTGGGAAGGGATGCTTGGTGGGGCCTGGTTGCATCTTGAAGTCGAGTTGGGGACATCCTCGGGTACACAGGTGGTCCACCTGCCCATTGGTTCTGAGAATTGTCCTCATGTCTCTGTGAGCAGCGACCTGTTGTGAGGGCTTTCTCTGAATCCTGTCCCTGCCAAACACTACCCAGGGCATCTTACAGGGAGTCAGTGATCCCAGCTTTGTTTGGTGGGTTACACAGGAAGCAGTGACTCAGTGGTCCCAGCTTTGGTGGGTTATGCAGGAAGCAGTGACTCACTAGCTAGAGTTCCTGAAGAGGCAGGGAGAGCACAGGACTATGGGGCACCTTGTGGTCATTACCAGCTCACGAAGCCCCTGCCTCTATCTCTAGGCGCCCGTCCTCCTCTGCGGAAGTTAGGTTGGCTTGTTAAAAGTGCGGGTTTGCTGTGCGCACTAGCGTGAGGAGCCTGCCCTTGGCAACAATTCATCATTGTCAGATTCTTTAAAAATGAACCCCACCTCTGCCTGTGTGCAGTATGTATTTAATATTCATGCTCTAAGACTGCACCTTCTATTTCTCCTATTCTGGTCTTCCACCACCCGCTGGACAAATGCTATAAAAAACAGATCAATCCAAACTTACTCCAAGGGATAAACAGCTTGTGTTGGTCAGAACGGAGACTGCCCCACCCCCCCATCTCTGGGACACAGTTGGGGTTCCTGAGCGCATGGATGCCATGCTGACTCTGTCCCGGTCCAGAGAACCGGAAGGGCTGGCTGCGTGGGACTGTGAAAGGGCTGCGTGTAGTTGGAACACCGGTGCAAACACAGACCCTGGCTCTGTCTCATGCCTGGGGGTGGCTTGCGCCATCTGCGTCTCAAGGGGATGCTGACATTCCTGGCAGGATGGATAGTGCACGAGTGTAGGATACCAAGGGGGTTCCTCTCAGCTCAGCAGTGAACAGTACAAGGGAGAACCGCATGGGCCCAGTGGGGGCCCCATGGTTGTCCACAGAGCCAATAGGCCACGGGGTCCCTGGTCTGCCCTTAGTATTACCCTCTCCTCTTCCTAAATTTTACACTCTCCTCTTCTTGACTCTGTCGCCCTTCCGGTCGTCTGTCCTTTACTCTCCCTGGTCTGCATTCAGGGGGTGGGTCAGATGATCCATCCACTGGCCTCATCCATGCCCTTTATCGGATGGAGGGCTGCAGAAACTTCTTCCCTCGACTTTCTTTCCTATTTACCCTCCTGTGTGGCGCAGGTGTGTCTCGTTGGCCGGAGCGCTGTGTGGTTCTGTTTGGGACACGCAGGTTTCTGTGGCTCTTAGGTGAGACCGAGTCTATTCCAACTCCCTGCAGGACGGAAGGCTGCTGGGTCCTGTGCCCTTCTTGCTGAGGGTCTGCGGCGACTTTGGAGGTTGTATCAATATGTGGGACTTAATCGTGTGAAACTTTTCTATGCTGGCAGTGGACGGGGATGTAAGTGGGTCTGCGGTGTGGGTAGTGGTTCTTTCAAAGCCCTCGGGAGGTGTCGTCTGCTCTGCCCTGTGATCCTCCCGAGGTCCACACCAGAGGAAGAAGTTGCAAGTGGAGCCAACTCGGCACTCCAGGGAGCAGCTGGGGCCATAGTCTGGCAGCCAGCACTTGTGAGATAATTAAAGTTTATTGTGCCAACCTGGTCGATAATCACATGTGGGGTTAATTGAAAGGCAGAGCGATAAATGGCTTGGTGAGCCTCGCTTTGTGAGTTCTCAGGTCTCTTGCTTTGTGGTAGTTGGACCAGGGTCCAGCTGCCTTAGCCAGTTCCCTGATTTTGCTTGCAAGGCTTACTTCCTGTGAGACATCCCCCAGGAGAAGCCACATGGACCTACCCCAATGCAGCCCTGGGTGCTGGAGCACCCGTGTGGAAACCCTGCCAGCGCTGAGAGGTTTACATGTTCACTGACTCGGCTTTCCTCCTGCAGTTGGCGTCATTGCGTCTGTTTTGTGAGATGGAGGAGGACTTTGTGGATTGGTGTGGGACATATGGGTTAATGTTGGACTTGTGGGCTTGGGCAGCACTGGGTTGGGATGTTTTCTTGGTGTACACTTACCCTTTATATAAAACTCTCTTATACGTGAGTTTCTGTGGATTTGTTTCTGTAATATACCTAGACTAACACAACTTGGATCCTCATCTCTGCTCCTCCCTGGTGCCCAGTTGGCCCAGCAAATGACCCTGGGCATGGCGGAGATTTCTGTCAAGGTGCACATTCTAAATTCTTTGGGGGCTGTGGAGGAATGAAGTAAAGTTACTTAAAGCAGGGAATCAGGAGAAGTGCTGAGTACCTTAAGGCTCTTATTGTATCTTGAACCACGCCATATCCTGTCTGTACAGCCCCCTGGACAGGAGGAGTGTCTGACAGGCCCAAGGTCAGGGCTGCGGGCCGTGGGTTTCAGGGTTGGGGTTCAGGGTTTCAGGGCCAGTCAGTGTGTCCTGATGTAGTAGACAGTGGGGTTTCCCCTCAGGTGGGTTGTGCGGAGCTAGGAGTGTATTATTGTGTGTATTGGGCCAGAACTCGCAGGCTGTTCTTTGTGCCTGTCATGTACACCCAGCTTGTGTTTGCACCCTCTCTCCTTCCAGCTCGGAGCCAATGCCTTGCTTTTTGTCGGCGTGAACGTGTATGGGGCCTTTGTGCGGATCCTGACCGAGCGCTCCCAGAGGAAGGCCTTCCTGCAGGCCCGCAGCTGCATCGAGGACAGGCTGAGGCTGGAGGATGAGAACGAGAAGCAGGTCAGTGCTCTGGGCTCCCATCAGATCGCTGCGTGGTGACAGGCCCTCTTGAGACAGGAAGCACTGAGCAGAGGTCCCTACCTGCCCGGTTGTGCTTAGTGGCTTCAGGGCCCAGCTGGCCCACTTTGCCTTTTCCTGGACAGCCCCTCCTCTTGGCAGAGTGTGTGCTCCAGCACCCTCGCTGAGCTATAGAACTGGGGCAGCTGGGGAGTGGGGTGGTGGCTGGGGGCTGGGCCAAGTGTCCCCAAGCATGGCTACAATGCCTACCTCTGACCTCCCGTGACATGTCATCGTCCTCCCTGAGTCTTGGCTTACTTATTGGCCAGGTGGGGCGACAACCCTTGCCACACAGGGCCATGTGGGAGGTTGTGATAACACCTGAGAGGTTTGATCAGAATCAAGGGAGTCCTTAGAGGAGTGTGAGAATCACACTAGGCCGAGGTGTATACCGAGGCTCATCCCAGTGGATGAAAAATGGGAATTGTTTCCCATGTTCTCAGGTGGGCATGTTTAGCTTTCTTCTCCTGGTCAGGAGACAAGACCTTTTCCTGATGGGGGTCGATGCAGGGTGGGGCAGGGTGCTGCCCTCTGGCCTGAGAGCCCTTTGTAGATGAAGATCTTATTCCTTCTGCAGACCTGGTCCTGGTTTGGCACTGGGTGCATGTGAATGTACTTTTGCACGTCCACAGAATTGCTATGTGACTGAGCAGGATGTCTCCGTGGTAACAGTGGTGGTGTTCACGGGACTTACTTTGAACCACAATGTCCCCAGCACCAAGCATGAGCCTCTTTACCATGGTCTGCTGAGGGAGACCTGCCAACTTCCCAAATGTAGAAGACACAAGCAAGAGGAGGAGACTGTGAGTTTAGAGGGAACTGGCTTTAGCTCTTGTCTCTCAGGCCTTTACTAGCCGTGCGAATAAGCGTGGCAGTTTTAAGAAGGTGGGGTGGGGCGGTTGCTCCTGGTTCTGGGGAGGGAACACTGGCTGAACCTCCAGTTCTGAAGAGAAATGCCAAGAGGCCGTGACCCATTTCTGAGGGAGTGTGTTCAGTGGACAGACTCAGGTGATGAGGGAACGGGGCTGGGTGGGTAGATACTCCCTGGTTCTGAGGGGGGTGGGGGGTGCCAGGGAGATTATCTCCTAGTTCTGAGGAGGCTTGCTGGGTGGGCATGCCTGAGTTCTCAGGAAGGAGTGCTTGCTGCATCCTTCCCAGTTTGAGGATGGGGTCCCAGATTTTTGAGGAGGAAATAGCTAAGAAGGCAGAAAGGGCAGTAAGTAGCCAGTAATCTTGTCCCATCAGTATTGGCAGGAGGCAGTGGGGCAGCAGGGCGGAGGCCAGTGGTGCTGGGGAGCAGAGGTCTTGGAAAGAGGACACATTTTGAGGAAAGGTTGACCAGGAAGGGACCTGACAGGTTGTAGGAAGTGAATTAATTTGATATAGGCTCAGCTGAAAGGAAATTTAGCCCTCTTGGTGGAGAAGGAAGTAGGGCTGGCTCCTAGATGCTTCTCTGAGGAGTCTTCCTGCATTTGGTAAGGTGTCTGGTGGAGCCATTGACAACTCCTTAGTAGGAAAGAGATGTAGTTAGACATAGGCTTCAAGTGAGCAAAGTGAAGAATCGCAGGTAAGAGCAGAGAGAAAGGCGGATGAGAAGTTGGGTAGGATTTTTTATCTTTTCTCTGTCCATGGGCAATACTCTTTCCAGAGGGGCCACCGCTTGGAGGTTTCGAAGCAGGGTGAGAACTGTGCTCTGGTTCAGAGAGAGGTGTTCTACTCAGGAAACCCAGACGTCTTTCCCTCAAGGGAGGTGCCGGGGAAGACAGCCCAGGGGATTTTGCCCTCCCTGACCAGCCAGGTTTGGTAGCGGTGAGGAGGAGAGAATTGCCCTTCTAAAGTGGAGTCTTCCACCACGCAGGCTCGTCACACTAGAGCCCATTTGTCCCAGGATAGGGCCCATTAGCAGGAAGCATGGGGAAGACACAACACAGGTGATGCTCCAGGTTGTTTAAGCAGTCTCCATGCCTGCATTCCCCGGAACCCAAATTTTTCTCCCCTAAACTGATAGATTATGTCTTCCTTTCCTCAAACTTTAATTATGTTGTCGTGGTTGTGTAAAGCTTACACAACAAAATGTACATCGGCGCACCATTGTCGGTGTGTATCATTTGATGACATCGCTTATGTTCTTAGAGTTCGTGCACTCAAGCTCCCCCTCCTTTTCTGAATGGGTCCTCCTTCATTAAGGTGGACTCACTGCCCTCCCGATTCCCATCTGGGGAGACGACTTCATGATAAAGGTGACACGGAGAGCATTGTTTTTACCGGGATGCAGTCATCAAATAAAGATGCTGAGAGGAGCGTTGCACCTCATCCCTGTCCCAGCATGCACGCAGCATCCAGGACACTTTATGATGAGTTTTGTTTCAACCTGTGAAACAGGTGACAGTAGCCCCACCCATCACGCTCCTTTCATTGACTGTTTAGTTCTAAACACCCTTTGGTTGTCCTGTCGTGAATGTCAAAGAAAACAGAAACACTCTCGAATGCAGAATCTTTAGAGGTTTTATTAATTTCTCCTTCTTTCATGGTAGCACAGTTCAGCAGGCTCGTTTTCTAGGCCTTTTAAGTTTTCGAAGTAGAAATATTATAACGAACCATTGTCCTTTCTTCTCTTTTCCTGTACATTCTCAAGTAGCCCATCGGACAAAGAGGGATTAGTCAGCAGTAGTCGGTGGGGTGTGCGTGGAGGGAGGAAGGTGTCTGCTTCAGTTTGCCACTTACAAGGCTTCTAGAAGGAATTTGTGGGTGATGTCAATGGTTAACATGCTTCGAATGCCAACCTAAAGGTGGTGGTTTACTTCCCAGAGGTACGTGGGAAGAAAGACCTGCTGGTGTAACTGCAGGATCAGCCATGGCTCTAAGGTGACACAAACGAGTCTCTCCGAGTCTGAATCAGCCACATGACAATTGATTTTATGTTCAGAGAAGGTTTTCTTGTATTCTTATCTGCATAGTTATCTATATTGTCATTATTGCCAAGTCTGATACCTTGAGAGGAATTGCATGTGCTAAAGTAACCTCTTATCATAACAAAGCAAACACACACACACACACACACACACACACACATCATGGAGCTGCCGATCTCATGCTTACCCAAGGAATGCTGTCATTCCCTGAAAAGACTCGGCAGGGGAGAAGAAGGCAGGGGATCCCCAAATTTTCCAATCTGAGTTGTTAAATCTCTTTACATATCAGACTTCTGCATCATTATTAACAATATAAGCCAACTTTCTATTGGTTTATAATTCCTAGAATTGGGATTCAGAGAAATTAACTAATTTGGGAAAGATAATGAAGTAGAAGGTGGTAAACCTGTCACTGAGCTGAGGGTAGACCTATGCTTAGTGCTGCTTACAACCATTTCTCTCCCTTTGGATCCTACTTCCCCTCAGATGGATGAAGCTCAGGGGAGGTTTTATGCTTACAGATAATGGTTCTTACTCCTAGTCTGGAATCTCCACCGAAACTTTTATTAAACTATTTCAAAGGACTGTAAAGATTCTTTTAATAAGATTCTTTTAGTTTCAGAACAAGCCTCTATCGAAAGTTGGTTCTTTGAAATAGAAAGGAGAGATTGATACAGAAGAAAACTGTCTTTGCTGTTCGAGGCCATTGACTTGGTTCCAGTTCATGGGGCCCATAGGTACAACTGACCCAAACACTCCCCAGCCCGCATGAGGCTCATAATCGTCCTGGTGTTTGAGCCCATTGTAGCAGCTCTGTGTCAGTCCATCTCACTGAGAGTCTTCCTATTTTTCATTGACCCTCTGCATGTTGCTCTTCTCCAGGGATTGTCCCTCCTGATATGTCGGAAATACCTGAGCTGAAGCATCACCATCCTTGCTTCTCAGGAGCATTTTGTCATACTTCCAACATAGAATTGTTCATTCTTGCGACAACCCAAGAAGAAAAGGAACAAGGAAAATGATGCGTATTAGGGATGGAAAAGGGCATAACTACAGACAAAGCAGTGGTTAAAGGAGCTAACAGGAAAATTCTGAGAGATATTATGTTAGATTATTTGGAAACTTAGACAGAATGGTCAAATTCCCAGAAAAATGTGTTACTAAATGAGGCAAGAAGAAAAAGAAAGCCTGACCCGCCCTTTACCCATTTACAAACAATGAGTCAATAATTTAAAGCCTTTTTGTATTTGTTATTGTTAGCTGCTGTTCCAGATGGCCCCTGACTTGTGGAGACCCATGCAGGTAGAATGGAACACTGCCGAGGCCTGTGCTCTGCTTACGATGCTTACACATGGATTGTTGTGATCCATAGAGTTTTTATTGGCTGGTTTTCTGAAATAGATTACTAAGCTTTTCTTCCTACTCATAGTCTGTTATCTCCACTGAAACCTAGTTAGCACTGTAGCAGTATGCATGCCTCCAATGACAGGTATGTGGTAGCTGTGCGAGAGGTACTGTATATACTTGAGTATAAGCCAGCCTGAATATCAGCCGAGGCACCTAATTTTACCACAAAAACTGCATTAAAAATGTGCCGAGAGCACACCAGCCTATGCAATCACGAGGTGGCGAAGGGATCAGGTAT